TCTGTCTGTAGGCCAGCCCCTTAGTTGGCCTCTTTCTGCCCAAGAACTGCTGTTGCCTGAACTGCTTTGGTAGAAGCCCACATGCTGCCATGGACAAACTGTCTGGCCCTGGTAAACATGTCCAGCACATCCTGCCAGCTCAAAGGGCTGTGGTGCTGCCAGGACTACCTAACTGGCAGGTCTGTGACTTCAAGAGGGACTTGTGCTGTAGGCCAGCCCCTTAGTTGGCCTCTTTCTGCCCAAGAACTGCTGTTGCCTGAACTGCTTTGGTAGAAGCCCACATGCTGCCATGGACAAACTGTCTGGCCCTGGTAAACATGTCCAGCACATCCTGCCAGCTCAAAGGGCTGTGGTGCTGCCAGGACTACCTAACTGGCAGGTCTGTGACTTCAAGAGGGACTTGTGTGGCTGGCAGCAGAGCAACACTGATGACTTTGACTGGATACTTGCCGGGGAAAGACCTGCTGGGCCAGTGACTGGCAATACCTCTGAAACCCAGTGCTCTCCTTCTTGGGGTAAGTGGTGCTGTCTCTGGGCAGTGGGGTGGGAGTAACTGTGCCATGGGGTCCAGGAGTAACCTAGTAAACCAGCTCGTGGGCAGAGGGAGCTGGGAACATGACTCAGCTGATAAGGCTTCAGGAACTCTTAAACACCAGGGGAGTCTGCACTAGGACAGATTGCTGTGGTGACTCACAGCTGGCTCAGCAAGAGGGAGGAGCAGTAGCAGATGGGGATGCTGCCCTGTGACCAGCACTGCATGTTTGAATTAATGCAAGGAAAGATCCTTGGCAAGTGCCCAGCTCTCATTTGGATAGAGGCTTGGGAATGCTGCAGGCATTTAGCTGGTAAAACTCAGCATACTCCATAATACCAGCCCTCCTTTCAGTGACAGGTGAGACTGACAGGTAGGTAGTGGGAGACACCATGGAGCCAAGTCACCTGACTCTGACTTCCCTTGAGTCTTAACGAGCTCCTCTGTGGGGTGGGGGGTGGGGGGGCGCAGGCAGGGGCCCTCAGATCATTGAAAAGCAGCGTTGATACTCCCAGTTCTTTCATGAATCCTAAAGGAATGCAGGGACTGAGCCCTCCCCTAAATTCTCTACAGCTCACTTAATAGCTAAAACATGAAGCGTCCCTGGGAAGCAAGTATGGACAGTGCCTCCACCCCACCACCATGGAAGGTGTTTCTCTCTCCAGGTGGAATGGGGGTCTTGTAGTATCCCTGTACTCAGCCACAAACTAGACTCCTAAAAGCCTAACCCTAAATCCATTTGGAGGAGGATTCAAATTGCCATTCCTGGGTTACAAAAACATTAGTCACATACATAGTTTGAGTTGTTCAGTTTTGCATACATGCACTTACCCATGGCAGGCAGGCGTTCCCTAAATGGGCAGGAAGGAGGGCTGATCAGTGAGGATTTGTGCGTTTGATTCACTCTTCCAGGTAGCTATATCTCCCTGAAGTCTCCTTTCTCCAGACAAACGCCAGAACAGAAAGCTGCTCTAATTAGTCCCATTCTGCAAAAGCTTGGATGCATCCACTTCTGGTACAGCCCACTGGGCTCTGTTATGGGTAAGCTTGGCCTTGTGCCTCTGACAAGGCTTGAAAGGATGTAAACCAGAGCTCGCTGCGGGTATATTGGTTTAGTCCTTCTAGGAGCATGTTTTCAGTCATGCTGGCAATAGCTGAGGGATACTGATTGCTGAAGGCTTCCAGCTGGGGAAGGCGGGACAGGATGAGCCTTGAGAATGCTGAGCACAGCACTGTGGTTTTGCTGTTACTCATCCCAGAGAAACAGATGCTTCCTTATTCCTGTGTCTAAATCAGGGGTGGGTAATCATTTTGGGCCAGGGGCCACTTCAAACATTTTTGAAGTGGCCCGGGCTGCCCAGAAGGGGCAGGGCAAGATGCTTCTGGGTTGCCCCACCCCCACACCATGATTGGCCAGTCAGGGACTGGGGGCAGGGGAGTGTGGGAAGCCTCCACCTGCCCTGTGAGGAGCACGTGGCACTTTGAAGTGCCGCACACTCCTCACGACTGGGACAAGGCAAAGAAAACTTCATGCGGCTCCCCCACCCCCAGGCCCTGACTGGCCTGGGTGCAGGAGGAGCATGAAGCTGCCTCCTGCCCTACCCCCACTCTGTTCCTCACAGGCTGCACTTCAAAGTGCTATGTGCTCCTCACAGGGTGGGAGGAAGCTTCACACCTTCCCCCCCAGCCAATCAGGGCTTAGGGGCGGGAGTACATGATGTCTCCTCCTGTCCTGTGAGGAGCATGTAGCATTTTGAAGTGCTGCATGCTCCTTGCTGGGCGAGAGGAAGTCTTGTGCACTCCACCGGCCCAGGCCCTAACTGGCCTGGGGTGGAGGAGTGGCAGGGTCTCCAGAGGCTGGATCAACCTGCTTGGCAGGCAGGATCCAGCTTGCAGAGGCCCTCTTGCACACATCTAAATGATCTAGGAACCCTCAAGTACCCCATGCATGCTACCTGTTTGTGAAGTGGTGACCATGTAAACAAGGACCAGTTCCGTAAACAAAAGTAACCCCAACTCTTATCAGCAGGGGACAGGGACAATGTTGGGTTTATTGGCCTGTCTGTTGTTCTGTATCCTGCTGGCATTAAGTGCTTGAATCTCTCACCAGGCACAATCAGCATCTATCTCAAAGTTGCAGGTGCCCCTGAGTGGCACAGAATCTGGTCTGCCAAAGGGCAGCAGGGCACAGACTGGCATGAAGTAAGTGTGGAGGCCTGTGTGTCTCAGAAGCTGCAGGTGAGAGCCCTGCTGGGTGTGTCTTCTGTCTCTGGCTGGGGAGGGAGGATATGGCATGTGGGTGATCAGGGGTTTTGTCAGGAGAATGCTTGGTAGCTTGGAGGGGAAAGATTTGCCTGAGACTCAGACAGGCTCTGGAAATAAGTGCTGCCTTCCTCCTCCCTTCCTGGGTGCTGTTACCTACAGTTGCCCAGCAGAGAAGGCAATGGAAGCTAGGCAGGGAGTGGCTTTGAGTTGGCCTCTTGAGCCCAAGCAGTAGTCAGTAACTGAAATCTTTCTGCTGTAGGTGATGGTGGAAGGAGTCATTGGCCTGGAAGCAGGGAGTGATGCTGCCATTGATGACCTCGCTTTCTGTATGGCGGAGTGTCAGGAAGGCTGTGAAGAGCTAGCTGCCTTATACAGAAAGTGAAACAAGCATCAAACAAAATAAACTTTTTTTAAATGCACAAAGGTCTCAAGTCGTTCTCTGGGCTGATCAGCTGGGGTTACTGTCCCAAGCACCATGGAGAAGGTGGTGATTGGGGCACTCAGCTGAGTAGCTGCATCCCACTGCCCTGATAGGAAGTGCTGGGAGCAGGGGTTGGACTCCTTGCTGGGATAGGGAACAATCAGAGCTGTTCAGCACTTGCCATGTCATCCTTCACAACAGGGCCTTTTCCAACATGCTGTAGCAAGGGAAACGTCGTCCATGCAGAAACTGGTCAATGACTCTCACTCCTACCAAAGATCCCTGGGCTCTAGTCAAGCTGAACTTTGCAGGAACTTCCTGGGGAACCCCGATAACTGGCCTCTTGCCCAAGCAAGCTGCTGCTCAGCTTCTGGACACTAGTGCTGGACTGGGAGCATTGGAGGCAGGTGTGGCTTGCTCTTTCTGCTCAGTCACATTTCAGTCTAGAGCCCAGGCCTTGCCTGCATTCCAACTGGAGCAAGTCACAGAAGTGACTTGCAGCAATGTAGCTGTTTTGGGACCAGTATCAATGCTTTCTTTTTCAATAGCAAGGGCATATTTGACAGCAGACTTTGTCTAGCTGGGAGTACATGACTGACAGGGCTGCATTATGACTTTTGTGGGCCCTAGGCACTTTTGCCTTCATGGGCCCCTCCCACCATAATATCCAGGGCTCAAGAAATAACGTAATCTACTATCCAGGGGGGAGTAGATGGCAACCTGGCCGAGCCGGGTTCGGGCGATCGGCACATGTGCAGAGCGCCGGACAGCATGGCTGGTGAGTGGGGCTTGCCGCTGTTCAGTGAGCCCTGAAATATCAAAAATTATTTTGATATAACTTTAAATACTTCAATACTTAAACTTTGCCTAAAACAGAAAAATAAATAGATTTACATGGCCCTAAGTTTGATATTTTTTTTTCTGATGGGAGGGGGGGAGAATTTAAAACATTTTCTTTGACCCTAAGTTCTTTTTTTCTTCTTCTGATTTTAAGAACTTAAAACATTTTCGTAGGCCGTAGGCACTGTGCCTAATGGATAAGTCGGCCCGGATGACTGAGTGGATGTGGAGTTGTGTTGGTTTAGTAAAATGTAAACTTTGCCCATGCATCTCAACTAGCAGAATTCCATAAAGCAAGTTCCAAAACAAGGGAGCTCACCTGCTTTTAAACTATCCTTCATGTGGACACAGCTAGAATCTCTGCACACTGCTGGTGATCCCAAACTAACAGGTTCAGGCTCACCTCAACCCTTAAGCTACATCTACACTGGCAGCTTCTTGCACAAAAACTCTTTTGTGGAAGAGTTCTTGTGCAAAAATCTTCCACAAGAGTGTCTACACTGCCATGTGCTTTTGCACAAGAGCATCCATAGCAGTGTAGATGCTCTTTTGTGCAAGAAAGCTCTGATGGCCGTTTTAACCATAGGGGCTTCTTGCACAAATTCATGTTGCCTTTCTACAGTGGCCTCTTCTAGAAGAGCTCTTGCGCACGGGGGCTTATTCCTCGTGGGGAGGAATAACTCATCCAGGAGAAGCCCTGTTTTACAATGCTGTACTGTAAATTTACTTCTGGAAGAATGCTCGTGCAGTGTAGCCAGCAAGTTTTTGCAGAAGAATGGCTGTTCCTGCGCAAGAAGCTGCCAGTGTAGACATAGCCTTAGATTGGGCTAAAATAGAGCTAAATATCTTAAATTAAGACCTCTGCTATATGGCATGGGCTCGCAGATAAATTGCTCTCCAATGTCTTTCTAGCATTCATGAGCTTAGAAGCCGGGGCAAAAGTAGGTTCCAATTAATGGAATATACCAGATTCTAACTGCAACTGCAGTGGAAAATTTAACTTTTACACTTTGATAAATTTTTACAAATTATTTTTCAAACACTTCATCTCAATTTTTGGGGGGGTTGGGGTTAGGGTTTAAGAGGGCCCGGGGGTTGGGGTTAGGGTTTAAGGGGGTCTGGAGGGTCAGGGGTGAGGGTTTACAGTGCCAATTAATGGAATATACCAGATTCTAACTGCAACTGCAGTGGAAAATTTAACTTTTACACTTTGATAAATTTTTACAAATTATTTTTCAAACACTTCATCTCAATTTTTGGGGGGGTTGGGGTTAGGGTTTAAGAGGGCCCGGGGGTTGGGGTTAGGGTTTAAGGGGGTCTGGAGGGTCAGGGGTGAGGGTTTACAGTGGGGGAAATGCAAGACTCTCGGAGTAAGAGCTGACTGGTTGACAGGAGGGAAGACAGATATCTCCCCGCCCCAGCATAGAGAGATGAGAAGGGACCTGGGAATTGCCAGAGATAGGGAGGCTGTTCCTGTTAATGCAGCCAGTGTGGACATTGGGCTACTGCTCCCACCCTCTCCACTGTGGAGGGACTTGGTGGGGGCAGAAAGAAGAGGGACAATGAGTATAAGAAACTGGCTGAAGAAAATCAGTCCCCAGGAGGTCACGTATGTCTAGATTGCATCCCTCTGTTGGCAGAGGGATGCAGTTTAGGCAGGTCAACATTGCAAATAAGGCAGGGATTTAAATATCCCGTGCCTAATTTGCATAAAAATGGCCACCATGTTTTGCCCACTCAGCACTTTGTTGGCAATAAGCAGCAGTCTAGAGGGGGATCTGTCGAGAAAGAAATCCTTTTTCGACAGATCCCTTATGCCCCTGCGAGGAGGTTTACAGGATCTGTTGAAAAAGGCTTTCTTTTTCGACAGATCCCCCTCTAGACTGCTGCTTTTTGTCAACAAAGTGTTAAGTCGGCAAAATGCGGTGGCCATTTTTATGCAAATTAGGCACGGGATATTTAAATCCCTGCCTCATTTGCAATGTTGACCTGCCTAATCTGCATCCCTC